ATTCCATTTCTCTCTCGCCATCTCGAACAGCCTGTTTCTCTCTGCTTTTCCCTCGAGTTGCACGCGGGTCCGAGGAATCGAACGTCGATTTCTGACGCTTATTCGCGTTTGATTACGCGGTACCCGTGGGCATTTAACGGAAAGCGAAATTGCGATCGCGATGGAGGAGGAGGAGGTACCACTCCCGTGGCTCCTCTGCTGTTTAAGGTACGGCGCGAGAGGCGGAGGGCCGCCGCGTTTCATCGCAAACAGAACTTACGCAAGCGAACTCGCTTGAAATGCGGGCTCCTGCAGCAAGTACGAGGGAAACTATTTAAAGGTCACGCATATATTTCGTGGCGGCGGTGCAGCTGCACGCGTCGGCCACGTAAAAATATGCGAGCGTTTGCTCCGCGCGCCCGTTTCGCACCACCGAAACGTGCCTGTCCGCGTGTATTGTCTCTGTTATCGTGGTTTAGACCGAGCGCCGGTGGAACCGGTGTGCTCGTGGAAAAACTTGTTCCCGGACACTTGTCCGCAAAATCTGAACCGTTCAGCGTTCTGGGGTGTCTTTTTTTCCAATTTTGGGACGTACAGGCGTCTTTGGCTCAGCTTTTCCTCTGGTTTCGTCGTACAGTCTTTAGAAATTATTATGTAGGGGATATTTGGTCGCTATAATGTCTAAAATAGAAAATAGTGTATAGAATATTTGAATACTATAGTGTCCCAGATAAAAAATAGAATATGGAATATTTAATGGCTACAGTGTCTCAGATGAAAAGTAAAGTATGGAATATTCAATCACCATGGTGTCTAAAATAGAAAATAAAGTCTACAATGCATAATTGATCAAATAAGGTTAGGTAAAAAATTTGCACCCATCTTGTTCAATTTTCTATGGGGTGAAACTAGGTGTAATAACAAATGGCACGTCCAAACTTCTCTGTCTTATTTTTTAACAATGCCTTATTGTTCGTATATTTTTCTCTTACCTTACACTTCTCTATTTCACAATTATTCACAATGCTACGAAGAAGAGTTTTTATCACAGCGTTCTACTCCAAATTTAAAGCATGTGACTTGATAAAATCGACGAGAAGAACGATCTCATTGGTGCACAAAGACGGTATTGCAATTTATACGCGATAGTGAATTTATTGCTTCGATATTGTAAAAGTGCTTAATAGTTTCTTGAACCACGTTTATCTGCTTCATTGTGCGTTACCAATTGACAGCACATCCGTTACCATTTCTTTTCAGGAACAATGTCTATTTAGAGTTATCGGTATTTTTTTCACATCGATCTCTGCATATTTTTCCAAACGATTACCTTACAAAGGTGATCCCTAACTTTTCACACACTTTTAATTAACCCTTTATCAACCCTTTCAGCGACGTATGCATCATTACTCAAAGTCAGGATAGGTACCACATCATGAAAAATGGCTCTTTCTCCAAAACTGCTTTTCCAAAGTGTCACCGCAAAAGTGTGCCGAAAAAACGCTCAGAGTGCAAAGAAAAATTCCTCGTAAGGAAGCGTTAAATTTCGATTCGAAGTTCCATAAAAATACCAATTTCCCGAAGAATCGCCCTCGAAAGTTCCGCACTTTCCGGCGAACTTTCGGACGGTCGCGTCGGTATGACGTCTGTCCGAGGAAAAGAATGCAGGCCGCGGTGAAATGCGGGGAAGATTCCACGGAGTAAGGAGAACGAGAACAGCGATGAGTAGACAGAGAAACGTACGTGTGCGAGGAAACGAGAAACTCTCTCGACGAGTTTCATCGGGTTGTCCTGAACCGCGGGCGAACGATACTGGGGCGATAGTGTCCGCCACGGTGGGGTTGTTTTGATGATTTTGTGTAAACATGTTGCAGAGGGAATCCGTCGTTTTAGGGGGTTAACCAGTTAACCGGTGTGCAAGAGACACGGAGTAGGGGAAACGAGGCTCGCGGCGTGGCAGCAAGAGAACGCTTGCGAAGGAGGGAGCCATCAAATTCGTCCTTTTTTGATTAATTTTAGTCGCCGACCGACAGCCACGTTTCTACATTCATCCCCATTCTTAGCTTTCCGTGTATATAACGCACACGACACGGCCATCCTCTTAACTGCGTTTCGTGGGCTTTGCAGCGAGTGTGAAAACAACCGCCTCTCTATCTTCGAGAAGGTGAGAGAGTAGCTGGAAAGATTTCTCGCGGGACGCGACAGGAGAAAGAGCCTAAATCTCGTGTCACACAATTTTAAACGATTCCTATATATCGATTTTATCGTTCTGACGAGCAATCTTTCCAAGCTTCGCATACTTACGTTACTTTGCTATAGCGGTTTCTTGAATAGATCCTTTTTTTAATGAGTTTTAGGGTTGATTCGTTGTGTTTCGTTCTGGCACGAATAGAGTACGTAGGTAGGAGGAATTATAATATTTCGTAACGAGGGTAAAAAGGTTATCACGTATACAGAACTTAGTATAATCATGCGCTAGTCGCGAGACAGTTAATTAAAGAAAACACAATAGCTCGTAAGTAATCTGGAGGCGCGCGAGGCCAGATCTCGGGAGCCTTTCCAGGATTAAAGTACTTTGCCCGCTAAAAGCTAAGTTGAATATCTAGAACAGGCTTCCACGTGAAACCCAAGTTGAAGCTCCTTTAACACCGCCGCTGTTGGAGTTATTTCAGTGCAAAGAGAAGAGGAGATGGGAACTTCTAGATTGTAGTTTCTTATTCTTTCAATTAAACAGGCGATGGACGTGATGTTTATGAAATTTTTATCTGCGACTTGTCGGAATTCGAGAAGGAATAAGGAACTTTAAACACATGGAAATGATAATTATCTCCGTTTTCGATAATCCATCTCTTCTGAAATTTATTAAATTCGTTTCGGTGTCGTATATTAAATTAATATTTGCGAAATTTTCATCTGTGACTTGTCAGAATTCGAAAAGAAACGAAGAACTTTTCCCTCTTCAAAATGATAGAAGAACCACTTGAAAACGATAGTTATCTTCATTTTCGATAATTCATCTCCTCTCAAGATTAAGTTGATGCAAATCGATATCGTATATTAAATTTTGTCTGACCGTAAATGTTTACACCCAATAGTTAAGAAAAAGAATGTTGCTTATGCTTTTACCAAAAAAAAAAATGAATCACCCAAAGTTTGTCTCCGTTTGAACGAAGAAAAATCAAGTTGCAAAATGTTCAGTTTAAAAATTCGAATTTCGGCCAGCATTTCAACCAAGATCCTGCCCGGTGATCTGATCTAACAATTAGAACGGCACGTCGTCACGTTTCGATTCACGAGCATCCGAAACGGTCGGTATCAAGCGAGAAGTGGATCTCCAGCGCAATTGTACACACGATCCTCGAGATGTTTTCCTTTCGCGGTCCACGGAGATCCCCGGCTCTAGGCCAAGATGCTTATTATCCCTTGCACCCCAGTCATAATAGAACGGGAGCCGGGAATGCGACTGCGGCCGTTCCGTGCTTTCGCTGATTATGACTGGTGGAAAAAAAAGTGTAACCAGATGGTTTTTGTTTAGTCTGGAATCGGTTGGTCTGCTGTACTGCACAGCCTCGCACAGTTGTTCGAACGTTGGTGAACGACGGCAACGAATGCGATAACTTGGCCGAGGGCTCGGCTCGTGTCAAAGTTCACCGAACACCTCCCACGAGAGAAGATGGAGATCGACAATTTCATCTTTTGCAATTACTCTTTCTTTCGTTACACAATAGAAATTATCTCGCTTTTGACGTATGTAACGTCTGAAGTTCAAGACTCGTTTCATCTCCCTTTCAGTATTCTTCCACACTTTACCATTCTGTTGATAGGATTTATGGTGATTAGCTTTAATTATTGTCTCCTTACGACAGTTGGCGTCGAAGCACAATCAGTTTCATAACATTCGATAAATTTCCTCTCTGTCGAGTCTTACGACGCGCAACTGGTATACTAACTTAGGAATCATCGTTGTTAAGCGGCGAGTTCGCTTTTTACGCGACATTTCTTCGTCACCCAGAAAGACAGATCGGCGTGCAAAAAGGAAGGAGCACCGCCAGGCATCGCGGTGGGGCCTGTTTCACGCAATTGGGAAAGAGGTGAACGTAAATTAGAGCCATTTTGCGCCGAAACGCACGAAATTAGGGTCGTATCGATTTTTCTTTTTTGCCAACTCCTGGGATTTTTTGGTAATCTTGAGAAATTGACGTGTGTGAAATTTTAGGTTTGTGTCTTTAGCGGTTTGCGAGATATTCAGTTATCCGGTCGTCGTCATTTTATATCTCCAGAATTCGGTCATTTTGCGTCGACTTTTTTTTTCAAGCTCACGGGGTTTATTGACAATTTTGAGAAATTAAAGTGGGTAAAATTTTAGTATTCTGTCGTTGGTGGTTTGCGAGATATTGTTCTTTGATCATCATCATTTTATATGTCCCCAATTCGATCATTTCATGATTTGTGTCTGCAATGTAGTGCGAATATGTACATAAATTCATCGGGGAATGATAGAACGTCAATATTTAGCAGTGATATTTATCGATGTTATTTATGCTTGCCTTCGTCTATTTATAAAATGAAAAAGAGATAATGATGATTTTGTTAATGGCTAGCTTGAAAGTTTATGTCCAAGACGAGGAGAATAAAATAGTATACAGCATAAATTACAAGAAATAACGTAGTTCAGTCATCGAACGTTGGATAATGGTGAAAAATATCGAAACTCCTTCAGACAATTTCACAAAATTTTTAGTCAGCTTCTCCTACGTTTATTTTCAAATTTTAGTACCATTATAAATAGTGTTAGTAATAGTTTCACGATCTTTCTAATTCTCAATGTATTTTAAATGTGTTTATGTTGTTAGCATTATTCTGCAATAATAGTATTATGTTGCCGCTAGTACTCTAACATACATGACATTACAGCTGTTATTATTATTACCGCACATTATGGAACACTGCATAACAGAATACAATTACACAGACTGCAATTCATGAAATAAATAACAGACTGCAACATTGTGTAAATAGTGATGGTGGACACGTGGAAACAGATGGACAGGCAAGGCTCTTATAAACGAAAACAGCAGCTCCCTATGGCTAACAATAAGGCGCAAAAAGGTATAGTTGGTGGAAGCGATACGACGAAGTCGTAAACTCGAAATTACTTTTTCCTACATTCGAAAAATTTGTCTGCGCCTCAATCATTGATAGCTGCAGGTTCATTTTTATCACTGTGGAAAAAAAACTGGATCACCCTGTATATGTGTAACTCTACAAAATCAAATCGTCACTAAAACTTGACCAATTTTTATCCGGAAAGTTGTTCGTTTACGGCATACATCTCCTTATAATATTTTTCTCTTCTTGTCGAGTAGAATACGCAGAAGTGAAAGAAAAATAAAAAATTAATTTCCAACGATTATAAGCAATTTTGCGTCAATTTTCCCTTTTTCAAAAATCTCCACTGATCGAAGGGCGAAGATTCACCCCCTAAAGTGACGATCGCTAATTTTTTTACATCCTTTTGGAAGAAATCGCTGGAGAAGAACAGAAGGAGGAAGACGCATAAGCAATTTTGCGTCAATTTTCCCTTTTTCAAAAATCTCCACTGATCGAAGGGCGAAGATTCGCCCCCTAAAGTGACGATCGCTAATTTTTTTACATCCTTTTGGAAGAAATCGTTGGAGAAGAACAGAAGGAGGAAGACGACGAAGAGGAAGAGGTGCGTGTATCGTTGTGGAGAAGGATCGCCGAGGGCAAATCTGCTTCTCGTTCGCCTCCTGCGAGCATAATGGCCCGACGGAGAATTAAGCAACAAGACGATCGTCAGTCATGAATATACAAAGTGGGCGCGTTGATCTTGGCATAAAACGCGATTAAAATTAACTCGACAATAACCAGCCCGCATTAACAATTTATATTTCGCTCTTGGCCACGGCTCGACGCCACTCGAGCGCAAGCCGGCGTGCATTGTGCGCATTCCAGGAACCTTGCGACCCCGTCGCGGCTCAACAATCGCAGAACCGGACGAAAACACATTGTTCTCCGAATAATCGGATCGTACGAGGTGTTTTCGTTTTTAAATATCACCTTTTCGTTTCGCGGATCTTCTCCTCCGTCTGGAGAACAGTTGCTGATGTATTTTGGTGTGCAAAGGGTTATCTTCGAGACGATAGGTACTTCTAAGTTTACAGTATTAGGTTGCCTGGAAAATTCGCATTGTAAATATTTCCCTTTTTCTATTTTTAGTTTTATTTTCAAAAAGTATAACTCCGAGAAAAAATTAGTAATTGTAACGAATACACTTTCAAAAGACACTGGAAAAAATAATCTTCCAGAATATATGCGAATTTCGTATATTTCCATCGACTTTCGTTTCTTCTAATACATAAAAACACTGCTCGTCGAAACACCCCAATATTTCGAAGCTCGAGTGACAATTTCAAAATACGTCAAATAGAAACGTAGATCGTAAGTTGTTCACGAAGTTCTCAAAACAATTAAAAAACAAAAAAATTAGTAAAGAAAATCAGAATTCCTATCTACCGCTTGTTCGAAAGAAACCTAGCTCCCTCTTCCTAGGTCTGATCTAGACCGGGAATATTCTACTTGCTGCTACTCCGTTTCGTACAGACGCGAACGATCTACTACGACCTAAACAAACCCGTTCGATTCAATACCCTATAACTCAGCCATGGTTGAAATAATGTATAACAGAGTCTATAATTCCGACGTTGCGGCTTGTAATTATCGTGACAAACGGTTATTTAATACCGAAAAGTCGCGTTAACAATTTCGAACCGTGTGACGCCTACAGGATTCTTTGTGACGAGCGGTCGGTAAGGGCGTTAACTGTAAGTCCTGCGTCTGAAGGAGTGGTCCAAGTGTCGCGGAAGGGAGAAAGAGGGTACACCGGTGTGATAGAGAGAGAAAGGTCGAATGTATAGTAACAACGTCTTTGTCAGGCGTTCGTGCATTCTTCGTGAGCCCGACAATTACATTCCACGCATCGCTTTGAGCTGTGCCCAACCCGCCGCCGTATTCTGCCCGGCTACACATCGACACGATTTGCTCCTGGAAAATTTCAATACGCTTTACAAGGTGGCGGACAGTCACTAGCGAGATCAAAGGGATCGTGCACGTATTTCGCGTTTCGCTCGTATCACGCGGCTGTCAGGGAATTTGCCCTTGACTCGTTCCCGGCACTCGCCTTTGATTCCACAAAAGAAATTTCGTGCTGGGCTTGTTGTCGACGCGAGGCGAGGCGAGGCGACGCGCCTCAGCTTATACCCGGCTCCTCTCGAGGAAAATTGGCGAACCGTGCGGGAATTACGCGTCCACCGGGCGTCACTTTCCATAGGGAACCTCGTCGAATGTGACGTCTCATTTCGTTTGAGAATTACGAGGTTACCTTGTAAATTTACACAGCCCTGTTACGCCGTCCTTCTTGTCATCGTTTCGCATAGGAAATGGGTCTCCGTGTAAAAGAACAGTTTACGCCGCGCGGACCATTTAAACGACAACCTTTCCCGCCGTGTAAAATATGAGGAGAAATATCGCTTTTCTCGGTCTCTTTACTATTCCAACGATAAACGTTTCAATCGACTGTTTTGGACAATTTTGGAAGATTCAGCATTTTTTGAACCGGGTGTGCTCATTTATCTTTGTATACTGAGAGGTTATTTACCCTATTTAAATAAATGGGACTTTCGTGAAGCATAAGTTTTATCAAACTAACCAAACTAATTACACAATCAATTAAGTTCCTCTTAAGGGGTTGGACCACCCCTGAGGACGATACCTAACATTCTTATTTTTCTTTCAAGAAAATTATCCACTCGATAGAAAACTTTTTTACAAGTGCCTTATTATATCAACCTTAGGGAATGTAAAAATATTTTTTTCACTTAATTTCTTCACAAAATGGCGACGCTACGGCCGCATCGCCGAACCCCTGTTTCCTCGCGAAGGACGTACTCGTTCTTCGATTTTCATATCTTATAACTTGAGCGAACGTTTAATAATTTCCTATTATTCGATAAGACGTACTTTTCACAAAACCATTGATTCTTCCCGCACAAGCACGCTGACCACTCCTCCGCTTTTCCAAGCGCGTGATTGCACTGGTTGACCGAACCGCGTGATCTCTACGAGGTCGTTGCACCATTGTTTACACGTATAATGTTATTGTTGCTGTATCTCTGGTTGCTGGACGTTGTAATGGAACAATGACGTGCTTATGCGCCGCGGACACGTGGACGAGGCGTAGCCACAGTTACACGTCTTACTGCACGATCGCCTCTTATGAGCGTGCAAAGATTCAATGCCGCATTATTGGAGCCCGTCGGAGAATATATTATTATTCAACAGATCGTCGTGGCTCTTCTCTCTCTCTTTCTCTGTTCAAAGAGAGGAAGGTTCAGCCTCGTCATGCTATTTATCCTCCCATAAACGCAAGTAACGAGCACAAAGCGCATTAGGCAAACGGACGAGTCGTCGAGAATTTTTCCAAGTGATTTTCTCCTTTTTCTCTCTCTCTCTCTCTCTCTCTCTCTCCCTTGTGTATAGATCATCGTATCGTCGCCGATCGCTGTTTCAGATAATGCCACGTGCGAGATTCTGTTCCTCATCCAAGAAGGGGCTTTCAGCCGCTTAATCGGACGATTCCAGCGAGGCGTTCTTTTGGCATAATGGCGCGTACACCCGAAGTTTCAGCCAGGTTGTTTGAAATAGTTAGAGCAGAGGGTACTTAAGCGACTTTATCTCCTGGTAAAGTATACGTACAGCGCTTTGGAAGCTCTAGAATGTTGCGCAAGTTTGATACCGGCTATATACTCCTCGAAATGTGTAATTAACCTGTTAAGATCGTATTTGTTTGACGAATTTCGAAGCTCGAGCGCAGGAGTTTGTCGCTGTACTTTGTGGAATTGGAAAATGGTGAAAATTGAGGATAAACGACGAAGTATAGGCTGATAAATACAGGAAAATGCAACGCGTAATGTTGGAATATTTTCAAATACTACGAAGCTTTGTAGAAAGTCACGGAGAGCCTAACTGGTTGCTTTTAATTTGAGTATATCGATCAGAAAAAACTCATCTTTACAAAATTTCATTAGATAAGATTTTACTGAAATCTGGTATCAGTAAAGATCAAACTAAGATATAAACTTTTAACTGGGCCAAGCTTTTCAATACTAAAATTTACCGAAGCTTGATAAAGTATTTTTAATACCTGCAAAATTACCTTTGAAAAAGAAAACTTTTTTTTAATTAAAAAAATAAGATTCTTTGGCGATAGTAGTATGACTTTCTCGCTCGATAAGACGTTCACCACCTGAGGTACTCGGATAGTTCACAAAACTTCATCGCAGCATCCACAATCACTTTTCCCTTTAATCACTCCATTAGCGCTTCACGCTAATAAAACAAGCGAGCGACACGAGATCGTTCTATTATGCTCGCACTCGTCGTTCAAATTATAACGCGGAAATGTTAATTACCATTTGAAACGACGAGCTGTTCCATTGGTACGATTACGGCGCGTAAAATTCGCGCGAAACACAACCCATTTCCGGCACCCTCAACCAAGAATCCACTGTTCCACGGGCGAATTACGACTCGTACTGATATTTATTTACCCTATTCAGGTGGCACGAATAAATACGTCGTCATTTAGCAAGCCGAACGCCCGCTTGTCGTGCAAATAAGCACCTCTATTATTAGTATTCTAACATCATGTCTCTCATTCGAAGCGTCGAGTAGCTTCCAGAGGAGAGTGTTCATCCACACACCGTTGTGTTCCGCTACATCCTCGAAAGCGAGAGACAGAGAGAGAGTGTGTGTCTTGTGTTCGGGCGAGCACGCAAACGACTCTCGCGGTCGCCGCTTTTCCGGATAACGCTTCGTTTCTTCCTCCTCCCCCCCTTCTTTCTTTTTTTTTTACACCGTCGATTCAGAGCCACACCGGCAGTCTCTTCTTCCCCCGGCCGCTTTCTTCGCGCCCTTTTTTCCCCCGTCTCCGCCGCGTTGTTCCTGCCGCTTGCATTTTTGTACATCCACTCGTTGGTTCGAGCCTCGAAAGCGAGAGTAAGAGAGAGAGAGAGAGAGAGAAAGAGAAG